TTTTTTTTTTTCATACTTGTTTTAAGTTTTTTTGTAGAATTTGCACAAATTTCAGTCTCAGGTTAAATGTCAGACAAACAGCTTACACTGACTTGATAAAAGATGAGTGTTGTGAGAGGCCGTGTTTGCATTTTTTTGCACTGCTTTCCACTCTGGATGTCTATTTATTGTTAAGCTTAAAGGGTCCATTCTACAACCTGAAGTTGTTGAGTATAAACATAATTTTGTGCTGATATTGCACTTCTTTTTTTCAGAAACAAAGAGTTTTTGAAATCTGCATAAAATTGCATTTTAAATTACTATTTGAATGTTACTTTAAATACTTTGATTTAAAAAGATCAGTATTGCTAAACTGAAATATTTTTGGGTGCAGTGTATTTTTTGCAGACAAGTGTAATAGTGTTTTTTGTTTTTGTTTTTTTTTAAATTTTGGTATGAACGTATGCAAAATGCAGCAAGACATTTAAAAACAAAAAGTTTTATTTATTATAAAATACACTATCGGATTCGTATCGGTAGATATCCAAATTTGTGGTATTGGTATCAGACATAAAAAAGTAGTATTGTGCCATCTCTATATTATTGTAGCGTCTAACTTACAATATGGAGCGCCTTTAGATGACCTTTGTTGTGATTTGGCGCTGTATAAATAAAAGTGAATTGAATTAATAAATAAATGCTGTTGCTGCTTCATACTTGTTATATTTGTGTTTTTTACTTTTTAATAATAAAAATAATTTCAGCAAACATTTGCCTTTGTCAATGTGGGCTATTGTGTATAGAATTTTTAGGTGAAAAATTAATTGAATTAATTTTGGAATAGAGCTGTAACATGACAACATGTGCAACTAGTGAAACTCTGTGAATCATTAAAGATCAATACATTTTGTGATGGAAGATAAAATCAATTCTATCGCCCAGTTTAACTGAAGCTAATGTGAAAGATACTGGGAGACGAAGTTAAACTTGGAGCTAGACCAGGGGTTAACCTGTGAGATAACATTAAACTAGGCAATTAAACTTGGGGGTTAACCTGGTTGTTTGGGGTCTCTGGCCTCTTCCAGACCTCTCCGGCTGATGGAAGGATCCTCCACTTTGGTCGCGTAAAGAACTCAGAGGTGGAGCAGGTGAAGGGGGTCACCTACAGTCTGGAACATTTCCTCGGACCACAGAAGAGGCGGTGCAAAGGTAAGACCAGACCGCCTCCATGTAACGGTGACCATATGTACAACTCACGTAGTGTAGTTTTGTAACGCTAACGTCAGATATATTTTATGTCATGTAATATACCCAATAAAACATTGCATCAAAATATAT